AAATTACAAGCAGCTCTTATTTTCGTTTACCATGAGCTAAATGCTAACCTCCACCAACAGTGTTGCTGGACAGGTACAGACATAGCTGCAGCAGCACTAGTGAAATGATCCTATTAAAAAACAAAGCTAAGCCACTGCCAAAGATAGCATTCCACAAGCCTTGTGAAGCCTTGTCAGGAAACTGAAATATCCCACTTGGAAAGTTAAATGTAGTTTTGTATTTTTAAAGAACAGTTAATGAACAAGTGAAATGATCATCATAGAAAATGTTGGTCTCAATTAGGGTAGTAAATATTTTCCTTTAGCTTACACTGGCTTGAATTTTCAGATATGAAATGTCGAGGTGGAAATCATGTTACTGGGGAGTTGAGAAATAAAATATCTTTGCAAACAGATTCCTGCAATATTCTCCTTTTGCATTCCAAAAACTATCCAAGGGGGTAGCTCTGGCCTAAGACTTGCAATTTCTAGTAAAGAACACATTAAACTTTGAAAAGAAAATCTCATGAGATCTGTTTCTACTGAATTTGGTATGTTTGATACATTTACCTTTTTAATATGGTCAGACCTAAAATGTATGCTTTGTCTCCAAAATTTTCATAGTAGACAGATCTATTTTATTTTTTATGCAAAGTTGTGTCCAAGTCACAATTAGACTGCCAGTGTCTGTAGAATCTGTTCCAGAGGTAGAGAAACCGAGCAGTTGGAATACTTGAGAATTCTGCCAGTCAGCAGTTTAAAGATCCAAGTTTCAAACATGCTGAAGCTGTAATTTTATTGCAAGCAGATATACAGATACAATATAGGCTATCTGACTAAGTACTGGGATATGCACTGCAAACATGGAGAGCTTCCCATGCCCTAATTAGAGTCATCCTGTCTGTATGCTTAACATTCATACTGTATGGTTTTCAAGCTTTATTTTTAATGGCCATTCTTTCTTCCCAGGAAGCTGAATTTGTAATACTGAGTCAATGAAGCATTTATATAAATGTATCACTAGCTCAGCATTATACATCAGGCTTCTACTAAAAAAAAAAACCCTTTTTTTTAATACCGATTTGTATGACAAAGTAGCCTGGTTCTTATTTCATGAATCAGAACTGTCTTCATTTTGTCAAATCAAATTTTTTGAAGCCGTCTCATTTTTCAAATGAAGATTAACATTTTTAATTCAAACAGTGCTTTAATCCACTCAGTAAGTAATGGTGTTTCACAACATCCGAGTTTAGGCCATAATAATGGCAACTGTCACTGTAATCTGATAGATTCTAGTAGGAAGAACTGCATCCATTATTTTCCATGGATGTCATGTTATTAAGAGCTTGGGTTACTAACCTGGAATCATCATTTTAGAAACTGAGTATCTGATTTTGAGAGCTCCTGAGTATACGTGTGTAAAAATGTGAACATACTGAAATAGACAGAGCCATACAAAATCAACAGGAAATACAGATGCATGGCACCAATGGAAATTGGCCAAACTCATTAATGCTCTCTTAAATCTGAAATAACTGCAATGAAGCTATTGGCTTTATACTTGCATCACAACCTAACCATGCAATCACACCTAAAGGAACAGACAATGACTTATCTAACAGGGGTGTGCGAAGTGGGCCCTATTTGATTCGGCCTAAATCAGGGACAGTGATTCAATTAGTTGATTCAGATCACTGTCCCTGATTCGATTCGCCCAAATCTGAATCCAAAGATTTGATGTTGATTCGGAGAATCAGCAATTCAGACACAGGCACAGCTTTAAATGTTTTTTCTACATACCTTGAGGTAGCAGGTGCAGCTCGTAAATGCTCTGATATTGGGGCACATGGAGCGTCCTACAGGAGTGCAGAGGGGCTGTGGCAGAAAGCCACCTTTGTTTCTCCCCCAAAAACTCTGCTCTGTGACAATGTGATTAGGATGGGCCCAGCAGAGAGACACACCTTTACGCGATCTCTTTAGGTTACCTGAGCTGGATACATTCCTGAGGGAGGGGGGAAACCTGCTCCCTCTGCCTATGTGACTAGTTTCACATACCTGGGTGAGGGGCTTCCTCCCGGGTGGGCTAGAGTCTGCCCAGCAACTAGTGATGTATTTCAAATTGGTTGGCTGACAGCCAACAGGTGCTGGCCTCCACTGGACCAGGTAAATGAGGTCACAAGGGCTATATAAGTTAAGGACTGCTCAGGAGGAGGGGGCAGCAGCCATGAGGGATGCTCAGAGATAGAGAAGAGCTGTACCATCTGAAGCTTGCTCTCTCTCTCAAAACTCATGATCAAGGAGCTGCCTGCCTCCAGAGGGAATCTCCAACAGCCTCTGGATGATACTTGTGAGTAAGCTATCTGAGATCTAACTAGATCTATAGCTTGCAGTAACTCAGATGCGAGATCAAAGGCTACCCCAGCCACAGGAGTTTGCTCTATGGGATTTCTCTGATATTGCTCTACCCTGTACCCTAGTCTAACCCTACCCTCTGTAACCAATAAACTTCTCCTTTGTACCTAGTGTGGGAGACTTATTTTAAGTGGGTCTAGATTATGCCTTGGGGTCCCCTTGGTTCGGCTGACTAAGGGAGACCACTACTTGTGCTTCTGACTGAGGGAAGCATCCCAGCTTCTTGAAGTGAATCAAGTACCCTTGAGGGCCTGTGTTTCCCAGGGTGCGCAGAGCCAGAATTAAGTCCAGAGCTCTGGGTGGTGGCAGTGGAACCCCCAGGCTAGCGGGTGTGCTCCAGGAAGGGGGTCGGCCAGACATAAGCCACCCCCAGGGAGGCACTCGGAGCTTGGAAGGTGGTTGGGCGCAGTGAGGTGGGTGGCTCAATGCAGGAGCGCCCCCTACTGTCCCACCACAGGGGCCCTCCCCACGTGCTCGGCGGTGAACCCGGAAGTGGACCGGAAGTACTTCTGGTTCACTTCCGGGTCTGACGGGGAACGCGCAGACCCTCCCCCAACCCCTGGCTCAGTGATTGGCCACAGGGGGACCCCAGGTACACCCACCAGACCCAATCACTGAGCTGGAGGGCATGGGGCAGCTCCCCAGTGCACTTCTTGGCAGACCCGGAAGTGGATTGGACGTGCTTCTGCTCCATTTCCAGGTCTGCTGCTGAGCGCGCTGGGGAGGTCCCCTGTGCTCCTGTGGGATGCTCCATGCACCGCAGAACCACAGCATTCATGAGCCCCTGCTACCTAGAGGTATGTAGAAAAAACATTTAAAGCTGTGTCTACGTCCAAATCTCCGAATCTTTCCAAATCTCTCCGAATCGATTTGGAGGGTTCCGATTTGATTCGGAGAGATTTAAGGGTCCTCTGATTCGATTCAGATTCAGAGATTCGGCCACCAAATCTGGCCAAATCTCCGCCAAATCGAATCAGGGACTGAAACTTTTCACAGCCCTATTATCTAACTCTATTTAAAAATAATGATTATTGCCTTAGTTGGAGTATAGCCAGGAAAAGACCAAATCGCAAAACTAGCCTAACTGGATCTTCTAGTTTAGGTAACTGGACTATTCTATATGAATGTATTCTCATAAAGCTTTTGATACCTTTAATAAAAAAAAAACCTAGCACCTTTCCATTTTAAATCTGCAAAATTCAGCCTGCAACTAGAGATAAATGTAGTACTGTATAACCTCTCAAGGAAAAAATGTATGGCACAGGAGATACGCAGCAGCAAATGTGGCTGTTCTTCACCTGTGTCATAATACAGGGTCACTTGTTCAAGGCTGACCTAATTAATGTTCTGTGAACTAAGCACACTATACAGATCGCTTAATACCTTGTCAACTGTGTGACAATGCTGTGCAACTTATTCTTGTGCAAGATTGGCTTCAATTGTAGTAAAAAAAAAGCCCATCAGCATTACAAATGCTAAGGTTTTCACACTGTTGTGGTCACAGCAGGGAAAGCATTACCACATAGGAAAGTGATCCAAGTTAATTTCCTCCTGACATTTCATAAATATAAAGGAGGAGGGAGGAGGAAAGAGAAATGGGCCAAGTTCAGAATACACATGCAATTGCAGTGAAATCAAAGTGTAAAGTCCAGCTCCCTGCAGTCAGTACACATAAGACTGTTTCAGGGCACTAAGGAACTGCTGGGGGAGAGCCCAAAGAGCCAGGTAGGAGCCCAGGTGCAACCTGCTAAGGAGGCAATTAGTCTGTACCTGCACCTGGTCAGCTGGCAGGAAGAGGCAGGGCCTGCCTCATATATAAACCCCAGGGCAGAGGCCAGGAGGGCAGTTCCCTGCCAGCAGCCAAGGGGGAAGGAGCTCTCCCAGAGCAAGCAAAGGGGAGAGGCCTGACTGCAGGGGCAGCTTCTGATACTGTTGAGGGATGGAGCACCCCCAGGGTGGCTCAAATTATGTTATAGCTGGGCAGCTTGAATTTATGTTATAGCCTTGGGCCTTGCAGCTTGATTTTTATGAGACTGGTGGTTTGGGTGAGGCTATTAGGGGAAGGAAGAGGCCTCATTGGGGGCCCATGGCAGCATGGGGACCCCAGCACCAGAGAGGTTGCAGCACTTTGCAGAGCGAGACAGGGCTGCGGAGAGCCCAGGGAGGACAAGGGGGCCAAATTACAATAAGGCCTAGACTGGACAACGTCGGTACCACTTGCGAGGCTTGGGGTGTGGTAAAGGGGTGGTTGGAACCATGCACAGCCCATAAGGCTAGGGTGCCCTGAAACACCTATTTTGAAGTGGGACACACCAGAGGTCCGGAAACCCACAGGGTCCAGAGACACAATCAAGACTGTGTCCAAGAGGACTTAAAGGCAGCCTCCCTATTAATCATTCCATCAAAGACATGGCAGGTGAGAATAGAGGGTGCCCATCGGGCCAACTTGGCACAGTAAAGGGGCTAAGGCAGATCACAGCCATCCTTCAGGACCCCATCCCATGACAAAGACAAGGAAAATTTTGGCCTACTCTGACTTTCCACTGTGTGGCTCTTTAAAATATGGTCTTTTATATTAAACAGACAAGAGATTAATATTGCTTATTTACCTGGGCAGGAACTTCAGTTGCACACTGAAGGATGACTGGGCTTGAATGTAACCTGTTTTCGGAAGCAGCTCCATGTATTTGCTCAGTTTTTTGCATACTTCAAACTTCAAGCGCAATGCAGCTTTTGCTCTATAAACAGATCAGAAGGCCCTGAGTACTTCTGTAATGTATCCACTCCAAGTTCAAATATGTTTTTCTCAGTTTTATTCATCTACTATGTTTTGCCTTTTCCCCTTTTGACTCAGTTCTGTATTTTTAGAGTTATTCTGGGTCCAATTCCAATTTTTAGAGTTATTCTTGGTCCAATTCTATGTCAGACCCTGAACTGTTAAAGAAAACTCGCACAGTTGTATTGACTCTCAAAGTGCAGTACTTCCAAAATCTTATGTTCTATTTTTGAGTTTCCCCAGCTGCACTGGAAGTGAAATATTCTGTAGATAGATATTTAAAAGTGACTTTGAAACAGTGATACATCAGCAGAGCAGATTGAAGATCAAAGCTGATGTGTTATAGAATGCCAGCTAGTTATTACACATTTAACCTTTGTTAATCAGCTGCTTCAGGAATTCAAGCCATCTAGCTGCGTTGGTAGTTGGCCTCTAAATGGTCTGGGCTGCAGCAGGGAACCCACTCAGATGGAGTAGCCCCACTGTAAGATTGACTCTAAACCTTGTTAGGCCACTGCAATCCCAGACAGGGCAAGATTAAATAAAAGTAACCAAGAATTAACTAGGCCATTAACAAAAGAAAGTGCAGCAATCACCATGGTATCTAGCTATGGTTTCACATGTTGGCAAGTGCAAAATGCCATAGTTTATGCTAGGGAAATAAGAGGAATTACCCAAAAAGTGGATGGTGCACAGAAATAAAACAACAAACAGCCATTTGGTAAATTCTGATGGCCTGATTTGTTCAAGTAATCTAAAGAGGCTTTAGAGTTCAGTGGCTAGCACCTAGTAAAATATAAATAGAGAGGAAAAATACTCTAATTGTATTAGAGAGCAAGGGATTTTTTTTATACCAGGAACTGCAGTGATAAAAAGAAATCATATCTTTAGGGTGTGTTTCATTAATTATGGTGACCTGTGACTAAAAAACAGGAGTTGACATATCTGTTGTAACTAGGGCTGTCAAACAATTAAAAAAAAAAAATCGATCGCAATTAGTTGTGCGATTAAAAAAAATAGTTGAGGTTAATCACAATTTTAATTGCACAGCTAAAAACTCAAAATGCTGAGCAGAAAAACTGAAATTATGCAAAATTATGCAGGTATTTTGTATGGTTGGGGGGTGTGTGGGGGATTTTGTGAAGGTGTGGGGGGGCTGTGGGTGTGTGTGTGAGATTTGGAACCCGGGGAGGGGGTTCCTGTATGCCCTGGCAGGATGTGGGGTACTGCGAGTCAGGAGTGAGGGGCAGCAGCAGGGCTAGGGGGTCTGTGGCTTGGGAGTACAAACAGGTACACACAGGCACACAAACACACACACATACCACCCAGTGGGTAAGTCTGTAGAGGGGAAGGAGCATGGGGGGAGGGAAGAGATGTGGGGGGAGCAGACCGAGGTCCCCACTGTGAGGGAGGGAGTGAGGCAGGGGTAGGGGCTTGATGAATGTGGCCCTGGGGCTGAGGCAAGTCATGGGATAGAGCCGTGGTCCAGGTACGGGGGGAGCACAGCTCCCACCACTGCGTACACCCCCAGGGGAGGCATGCGGGGCACGTGCCCCCCAAATTCATGTGTGGGGTGGAGGTAGGCTGTGGGCTTAGGGCTCTGTGCCCTGCTTCCATTGCCCCGGGAGCTGCGCGACGCCATGCTGTGCCTCCTGCTGCCGGGCAGGCAGTGGATGCATGGCACGGCCAGTGTGTGGCTTCCAGGGCAAATGCAGCATGGCACAGAGAGCCCCAGGCCACAGCTCACCTCTGCCCTGCACACAAATCTGGGGGGCACGTGCCCCTCTGTCCCATGACTTGCCCCAGCTTCTGCCTCACTCCCTCCCTCACTGTGGGTGCCTTGATCTGCACCCCCCACCTTTTCTGTCCCCCATGCTCCTCTCCCCTACAAGACATACCTGCTGGGCAGTGCTCTACATGCCACCAGGCTGTGTTCCTGGCCGTGTGCAGGCTATGGCTGCTCGTCTCTGTCTATGTCTGTGCGCACCCCTTCTACCCCACTGCAGCAGCCTGGAGCCTGGGCCGCCCTGCGTTCCTCTGCGCTGCCACTGCTGCCCTTCTGGGTGGCCCAGAAGCAACAGGGATGGCAGTGGAGCAGAGCCCCTGCATGGGCTCCAAAATCACGTGTGATTAATGCGTTAAAAAAAATAATGTGAACACCAATTAATGTGTTAATCGTGCATGTTAACTGTGATTAACTGACACCCCTAGTTGTAACCTATCGTTCATCCCTTCCAAAGAAGGGATTCTGTAGGGCTAGAGGTTATGTTGATGAAAAGGTGATATTGCCCATCATGTTGCTAATCTTTTATCAATATGCACCTACAGGTGGTACACAGGAAGCTAAGGTAATGTTTTGTTAGGCTAGTGATTTCAAACAGGTACTGCAGCACCCTGGGGTGCCTTACGATTTTTTCAAGGGTGCTGTGAGCACAATGTCAGCACTGTTAGGTGTTGCACACGATTCATATAATAAACCCAGAGATTTCAAACAGGAATCCATCATATTAAAAAACATTCTGACTTGTTGAGATCTTGTTCCGAGTTCTTTGCAACAGACAAATTGCCCTATTATTTTTCCATAATCAAAAAAAATGAGTGAAAACTAAGACCTAACACTTTTCAAGGGGTACTTTGAGACAAATGAGGGGTGCCTCAAATATAAAAAGGTTGAAAACCACTGGCTCAGCCATCATTTTCTGGGGCAATGTATTTCGAATAGAGAGGATAAGTTAGGGCCCCAATTCTCTTATGGTGCTGAGGACAGTCTCCAATGTATTAAGGATGTTTAACTCAGTTGGATTTTGAAAAGGCTCAGCATTTGTAAGATTGTTCTCATTAGCTTGGTTATGTTCTGGACTAAGTTACTTGACAGCACCTTCCTTTAGGAACACCTAAAACCTGGTATTTGCACTGGCAGAGCAAACCAGTTTGATTTGACAAGTTATTCTGCTCCTGCACTTATCTTGTCCCTGGGTGTGGGTTATCTAAACTAAGTAAAATCTCTTACATAACTTGTGCTTGTCAAATTTGTAAGCTGAATTTCTGAGATAACAGCTTTCATTTCTTTCCAACCGCAAAAAATCTCAGCAGTGTCTAATTCTGGTAAGAGGTTTAGAATATATGTCTTCTAACAGAAATAGTAAAAAACAACAATCCTATTAGCATGCACTTAAATAGAACCTAAACTAAAGGGATTGTTAAAATAGGAACATTCAGCATGTAGCTGCCAGTAAGCGCGTTAGATAGACAGAAGAAAACCAGTACCTGCAAGTCAATTAACAGAGTGGCTCATATAGCTATTCTCCAAAAAAAAGAACTATTGCCTGGGTCTCTAGATTATTAATAAAACCAGAGCACTGAAGATACAAACAGACGTTGTTTTTGTTGCAGCATCAGCTGTGTTCGGATGTGACCTAACAAAGCTGATCTGACTGATCAGCAGAAACAGATGTTGCTGGAGCCACTGTCCCACAGGGTAGGGTCCCTCCCTACTGCTCCTGGGGCCCAATCCTGTGGGACATAGCCCCAGGTGCTGTGCCCTGACATGAGGCATGCTTCTGCAAGTGGGGAAAACAAGTCGAAAAAGTCTATTCCTGCCAGGGAATTCCCATTGCGTGCAATAAGTGAACAGATGTCCTCCCCTATAAAGCATCACAAACTGTGACTATATTTGGTTGCAAAACATTTTGGGGCACCTAGAGCATGCCAAGGAGCAAGGACATCTGTTCACTTGCACCTTCTGCTGCCACCAACATTTTTATGGTATCTGTTTGCACCCTATATGGTTGCTAAAAGTCCCAGCAAGGAAAAAGTGGCTTGAAGCTGTCTTCCAGTGCTGACATGCATCTCAGACTAACTCCAGGTGAAAGCCATAGGAAGAACACCACCAAGACGTATCAGAAGACACTGCAAACTGAATGAAGGCTCTGGTGTACAAATGAAAGACGTTAAACATTCTGACCTCCCTAAAACTTAGCATGTAAATTTAGAGCTGGTGAAATCTGCTGAGTTGCCAGCACTAGCAACTGAAGCTTTTCATGTGTGGAATGGGTACAGCACAGACAAGGGCACTGCAGTTTTCCCCTCACTGCCCAACCAGGGTGCCTTGCCTCAAAGGGGCTGGAACTGAAAAATGATGACATAGTTCAGTCAGTAGAGATGACAACTAAGGTTGCCGTGTATTTGTGCATTGTGGCTGCATGTCCATTAAGGACTGAGGGGAGAAGCAATGGCATAACAAGCAGAGTTGGTACCCTGGGCAAACACTGAGAGCAAACGGTGGGGGGCACTATTTTGGGGGGGGGGGCAACAATCTTACCCCTCCTGGGGACTCCTAAACAGTCCCTGGCTAAGCTGCTGCTACTGCTGCTGCCTCATACACTGCCAACCATGTTCTAAAAGCAGCAGCAGCATCCAGGGACTGTTTTGGAGTTCTTAACAGGGGTAAACAGTGGGGCTGCTCCTACTGCTGGGGCAGGAACTTCACGGGGGCAGAGTGGGGAATTGTGGCATCCCTCATAACATGGTACCCAGGATTGGTGCCCCTCTTGCCCACCCCTAGTTATGTTACTAAGGAGAAAACTGGAAAAAAATTAGCAGAAGATACTAGAGAATGAATTAAATTCGAAGTCTATATATTCAGGGCAGGAGCAAGAAGATTCTGAAATTCTGATTAGAGTCTAATGATGTTTTATTTAACAAGATTAAGAGAGTACCAAGGGATCACTGTGGCTGCTGACAGATGTTCAGTTAAAGGTGCAATGGGATCTGATACTCAATCCCAATAATAATGCTTCCTGCCGTGCCATGTGTATGGCAAGAGGTGTTATAATTTGGATCAGCAATCAGATGCCAATTGCACCCTATTTCCAGTGCAGAGGGAGCCTAGAATCATGATCCTGGGCTCCCTCTGCGCTGGCAAGTAGTAAGGCAGGAGCCCAGTCATCAGATCGGCTTTCCCAGCCACAGAAGCGCACTGAAGTCCTTTGCTTGAAGGGCTTTGATATGCTCCCTTGACTAGAAGTGCTGATCAGCTGACTGCTGTTCCCAGGCACAGGATAAGGCCAGAACCCTTTAAGACTCTCATGCACCCCAAGCTGGGTGAACTGATCAGCTGATTGGCACTGGTCATATGTTCAATTTAAGGTGCAATGGGAACCAGCCATGAAGTTATTGCAAATATTTTTGTGTATATTTTTATATATTTTATATTTTTATGGCACCATTAATTGCATGAACAAGTAGTGGGATTACTGCTTAAGACATGATTAACTTAATCATACTTTAAGTGTAACGACTGCCAAAGGCCTGTTATTTAATATTTCTAAATATGATTGTAAGAATTTGGGGAATCTGTCTGTACACAGTTTATGGATTCTGTTCAATACTGGGGATTCTTTCTGTAAATCTGTGTCAAATAACTAACTCAATTTGATTGCAAAGTTTGTTTTCTTCTCTGTCATCTGCCATCAGTTCCCTCCATACTGAGCTAAAGCCAACCAGAAATCAGTTAAATATGTTATTGCTTTGTCTAGATCTGAATAGTGCTTATACTACAGCAGTGGTGCTCAACCTTTTTGCCTGGTGGGCTGGACTGGCAGTGCCCAGCTCATCCATAAGCTGGATCCAGCTGGTGTTCCCAGCCTGGTGCCTGGGTAGGCACAGTGGGCACTATGTGGCCACATGGAGGGAGGCAGTGGGCAGGCTGGCCCTAACGCAGCCCCTCAGGGGAAAAGAGTTTGCCCTGGCCCTGTGGAGAGGAAAGGGGATGTGGCTATCTCTGGGAGCTCCACCAGGCTTGAGAAAATGATGTTTGACATTTTTACTTCTCGCTCAAGTGACTTCTTATAATACCATTATTTTGTTAGATTAAAAAAACCCCAAACCGATCACAAATGTATTACTGAGTAACTCACCTGCTTTGAATGACGATACAGTCCTGATATAGTCTGTCATACATACAAATCTTTAGATCAACATTTGGATTTGTTACCCAAACTGGCACATCAACAGAAACACCAATGGCAGTAAAGAACAGCTGCATATAAAAAGTCAAAGTTACTTCTTACTATCACTCATTCAAAATCCTAATAGATCATTGTGAAGAGTAGAGTTTATACTGACAACCTACAGTAGAGCAATATATCCTATTATTTAATAATTAAACTATTTTATTAGAATAAAGGAAGCAAAACCTTCATATACTATAATTTGTCAGGTTGCTTGCTATTCTAATGAACATCAGCTATACTGATTCTTGCCTGTCTGCTATCAGGGATTCTGTAGCAGAAGCTGCAGAGGAATGTTATGCTGTCCCTGGTAGTTCAACAGTATTTTAGAATGTGTAAAATCACTGGGCGTTTTTACACATGCTCTGGAGGTGGGGGAGTGGTGCTTTAATTAGAGCATCTCCAAGAGCCACTCTAATTAAAGCGCTGCCACATCTTCTGGATCAGCGCCCCCGCGCTTAAAAATGGCATTCAGTGAGCTTTAGTTTAAGTGCCCCCATCACCATTTTTAAGTGCAGAGACACTGATACACAAGACGCAGACTTGATTAATCGTGTCTGCTCCAATACACTGGAATTCCAGCACACTGGAGAAGCCTTGGGGCTGAAGTATAGGTGCCCTCCATGTTTTAAACTGCATTTAGCACTACAGTAAAACAACTCTAGAGACTTCAGTTTTGTTTATCCAATGGACAATTACAGAAAGGGCACAGAGTACAGGTATTATTACAGTGACCCCTGCCAGATGATTCAACCCAGACCCCAACAGATATCTCCTCCCTCCCAGGGTTGAAAGAAGCCTACTCATAATGTTATGAAGACCTGGACTATCCTGCTATAGCTCCTTTTGTTGAGCAATCCCTTTGTGGACTTTGGGTACTATGGGGGACTTTGAGCTTCCTGCAAGGTGCAGATTTTCTGGTAAGCTTCTTAAAGCAGCCTCCAAGCACATTTTGGGCCAAAACAAAAATGCTAAGTTATAATATGCTATAGCGGCAACTAGATTTTTCGTTAGTCCCGGTTGTCACTAATCTGTTCCAATGCTAGGGAAGGCCACTGGTGGGAAGGAAAATAAAGTGTGTGTGTGGGAGGGGGAAAATGGAGAACTGATCAAGGGGAAAAAAAGTATATATTAATTTCCTGGCAACTGTGCATTTTTCTGATATAATCCAGAGTAGAACTGGGATATCAGAGGAGGTGATTTGTCTGTAAAGAAAGTTGAGAATCATCAGCAAGCATAAGAGCAACAGTAATACTCCATAAATAGAGGGGCCATGTAGCCTTCTAAAATCTGTTATCTTCAATTTCACAGTACATCACTAGGCTTGCTCTTCTTTCTTAGAATAACTACTGTACATTTATTTTTCTCTAACCTTTCCCATGGTTTTATCCCCACCTTCCAATCCTATGTAGTTCTTATTACATGGAGAAAGATTTCAAGTGTGTAGAATTAGCACAAGAAATACTCACTGGGTTGGAGTTTTGGTTGTCAAATGTAAATACAAATTCTGCCTGAACATCCCCAGGAATGGCTGGAACAAAAATAACTTGAAGTTTGACGGAGCTAAAGGGTCCAATTTCACCTTCTGTAACCTAAGGAAGAAAATAAAACAAAAATCCTTTCATTAAAATCTGGCTATTTTACTGTACCTAGCAATAATATCCTGTAGCATTAGATCAGCAGAATGCTTTTGTAAACGTATTTTCAATGACATAGATATTTCCTTTGTCAAAATGAATGCACTATGCTGACCCAAGAGAAAAGCATTAGCAATAGTTCCTTCTTGCAGAAAGCCAAAGGCTTCATCTGAGATGCCATGTGCCTTTAGTTTCCAGAGGCAGTTCAAAATCTTGCATAATTCTTAGCTTCTGTAGGGACAATTTGTGTGGTTGCTTGAGTTTTTCTTGTTTATTCTATGTTCCCATTCTTCCAGCAGCTGAGAAGAATATCAGTCATCTCCTGTCATACTCACTCAAATCTGAAACCTTGTCCATCCCTCCACATCACCAAGCACAACCTGTTCTCAATAGCTGTATTGCCACTAGTTGTTGATTCCTTTATTTCCTGTCTGAACAAATTTCACTTTAACCCCCTTTTCCAACCTTCTAGACTGAAAAAGGCCCTAACTTTAAGGAAGGCACAAATATTAGTTGGTAAGAATTTTTTCAAATTGCATGAAAATAGTAGTGAATCTGTGAAAGGGGATGAAACAAAATCTCCACGTCTCGTCACAACACACTTTGGTTTAATTATGTATTTTAAAAGATAGAGAGAACAGAAAGCAGCTGATTCCAAGACTGAAAGAATAAAACTGTGTGTAGAATCCTTCCTGACAGAACACCCCTTCCCTTCCATAATAATATGGTTTATTTTAAGTATTAACGGTGATAGAATATGATGAAAGTTAATGGGCTTGTCACGGTTTGTCAGTCATAAACCAACTCCTTCCACTGAAGCTAAAAGAAGTTTTGCTTAAGTAAGGAGTGTAAAATTTGGCCCATATTCAGAAATTGGTCTTGCTCAGTAAAATTAAGACTAGCTGAATGCTTGGGCATATCTCAACAAATTTATTACCTTGCCCAATGTAATTTCAACTGGTGATTCTTCAAGTAGAGGTTCCAGTGGGCTTTGTGTATTTTTTGCTTCCAGATCTGCCTTTGGGATCGGTGCATCTTGACTGAATTGTTCTAAGAGAAAGAAGAGAGAGTACTACAGGTATGTAACTCACTGAGAAATATATCACAGCCTGAGTCTATTGGCTTTTGGGGAATACTGCATGCAAATCAGTTCTTACAGGCCTTTAAGTGGGCCTACCATGGCTCTAGAGAGAGATTTTTGTTTGTTTATGAGAATACATGGTCTATGGCTTGTTCTAGTCCAGAGGAAGGTCCATTATCCTGACTAAAGGATCTTCCACTCCTAGAAACAGTTCAGTACTCCAGTGGAATGTAATGTGATTGAACCCATGGTAGTACCAATGGAAACTGGGTCCTACCAGAGACCTTGAACTGGGGTCAATCTAAGTGGGAGTACGATGAGCAGAACTGTGAGGTAATGCATTCAAGAGGATGTGTGCTGTACAGTGTGCCGCTTCATGTCCACCCAAATAAGAAGCTTTTTCAGTACAGGTACAATAATAAATAATTTTGCTTCATATGGCATTTTTGCTCCAGAAGGACCCCAGAGTAACTCCATCCATTAGGGCTGTGCGAAACGGCACTGTTCCATTTCGCCTTCAGTTTCGACGGTTCGACAGAACAGTGTTTCATATCGAATTTCATTTAGAGTTGAAACAGCTGTTCCGTTCTGTTCTGTCAAAACAGAAAGGTTGTTCTGACGCTGTTTCAAGTTTCACTGGGGATGGGAAGCAACCCAGAAGGGCTGCTTCCTGGTACCCTGCGGTAGATTGTACTGGGGGCAGGAGGCAGCCCAGCTGCACTGCTTCCCCATCCCCCGTGCTACATCGCGGTTCGACAGAACAGTGTTTCATATCGAATTTCATTTCGAGTCAAAACAGCTGTTCTGTTCTGTTGAAACAGAAAGGCTGTTTTGACACTTTTTCAAGTTTCGCTGGGGATGGGAAGTCAGCCCAGCTCCCGCCCCCAGCGCGATGTAGCGCAGGGAATGTGGAAGAAGCCCAGCTGGGCTGCCCCCTGCCGGATCTTGCACTGGGGATGGGAAGTCAGCCCAGCTGGACTGACTTCCCATCCCCAGCCTATGGTCAAAACATTTCGACTTTCGAAACGTTTCGACCAGCCTCGTTTTGTTTTGAGGCTATTTTGAGGGCCTTTGTTTCGTTCCGATTTTGCTGTGTCAACCTCAAAATTGGTCAAAACAGTGTCGGAACAAAACATCCGGCAAAATTTCGTACAGCCCTACCATCCATCTGTGTATATAGTATGAAAGGACTGGGTGTCATTTACTAATTGGTGATGACATGCTTCACAGCAGTTGGAGGAAAGGTAATTTTGATTGACCCTAAAATATGTAATGGGATTTCTGCATGACATGGAGAGCAGATAAAATCTCAGTTTTTAAGATGTCATCTGAAAGACAACTTCCAGATGCTGTATGGTATAGAGCAGTGGTTCTCAACCTTTTTAGACTCAAAGCACCCTTCACTCAAAATATCCTTTGGAAAATGCTAGGACTTAGTTTTCCCTCTTTTTTGACAATGAAAAATAACAGAGCAATTTCTATGTTGTAAATAACTAAAAGATCCCAATAAGTCAGAATGTTTTGAACGGTAAGGATTCCTATTTGAAATCTCAGAATTTATGATGTGAATCATATTTGCACACCAGCAGTGCTAACATTGTGTGGCACTCTTGAAAGGATCTCAAGGCACCCCAAGGTGCTGTCACACTTTGAGAATCACTGGTGTGGAGAGAGCACCATAACTATAACAAAATATAAAGAATTCTAACAAAATCCATCAAGTTCCAAATATAAAATCCAAATATTTTGATTTAAAAAAAAAAATGTGAATCATAGAATCAGAAAATTAGGGCTGGAAGGGACCTCAGGGGGTCATCTAGTCCAACCCCCTGCTCAAAGCAGAACCATCCCCGACTAGATCACCCCAGCCACGGCTTTGTCTAGCCAGGTTTTAAAAACCTCCAAGGATGGAGAGTCCACAACCTCTCTGGGTGGCCTTTCTAGTGCTTTACTACTGTCCTAGTGAGAAAGTTTTTCCTATCACCTTCTCCTCCAAGTGCTTAGAAATGGATTACTTGAGGATCCGCTCCATGATTCTTCCAGGGACAGAGGTGAAGCTGACTGGTCTGTAGTTCCCTGGATCCTCCCTTTCTTAAAGATGCCCTTTTCCAATCATCTGGGACCGCTCCTACCTGCCATGAGTTTTGAAAGATAATGGCCAGCAGCTCTGCAATCACATCAGCCAATTCCATAAACCTCCCCCAGTGCATCGCATTCAGCCCCATGGATTTGTACACATTCAACTTTTCTAAATAGTCCCTAACTGTTCTTTTGCCACTGCCAGCTCCTCCCCAAATTATGCTGCCAGGTACAGTAGTCTGGGAGCTGACCTTGCCTGTGAAGACCGAGGTAAAAAAGGCAATGAGTACTTCAGCCTTTTCCACATCATCTGTCACTAGGCTGACTAACAGTTTATTTTGATCAGAATAATTTAATGACCAGGATGAATGGGAACACTTAGCTTCTCAATATCTACAATGCCAGATACAAATCTTTTCTCCCAATCTTACTAAGCGCAAAGAAAAGATTAAAAGATGAGAGGAAAAATGTCTACGAGGTTCATCTTTATGTCACTTTGTTCCTAAAATTGTAGGTTGTAAAAATAGAACTGTCATGTGGATTTGTCTTCTGAAAGGTGGGTATTCAATTCCTGAGGCAAGAACAATGATAACAATTTTAAAGTCTCTGTGGAAAAATCTAGTTGGATTTTGAGTAGTTTTTGTTTGATGCTGAGTTGTTGACAAGCTGGGGCAACTGGGGTAATATATCAAAACTGATCTAAAAAAAATCTGTGCTAGCACAATTCTCATTTCTGTCAGCTGCCTGGATACCTTTGGGTTGAGAAAACGTTAAAATAAAAACATACTATATTACTACTACTACAATGGTAATTGTTAGGGTTGTGCAAACTTCGGGTGCTGATTTGATTTGGTCCAATTTGGTGCCTGAATCTCCGAATCCAAATGGAATCAGGTGACCAAAGCTCTCTGAATTGATTCAGAAAAGATTTGGAGAGCTTCAGCTATTCAGGCAGTCCCTACTCGCTGCAGCATGGAGCTGGACCTGCACTCCATGCTGGTAAGTAGGGAGTGGGGAGGGAACCATGCGGGGACCCCTGCTAGGTCTTATCCCCTGCCTGCTCCCCAACCCCG